AGTTTCAACAAAACAAAATGGAACAGTGATTTTGAAACAAAATGAAACTCAAAAGGAAACACTGTCCCATTAAAATGTCAAAACAGAAGTCATAAAGGAACCGTGCTATTTCACACAGCCCTAATAAATAGCATTGTTTTACTTAGAATAGTTGCAATCAAATGGTAAGATATTTGCTGATTGCCCTACTTCTGCTCTCTACTTCTTATCTAATTAGCTAGGATCAATAAAACTATTTGAGCTTTGAATAAATCAGTTCAGGATTCAGTCAAGTTTTTTTTTTCCTGTGAACTTTTGGTGGCATTTCAAATTGTATGTAGTTCTTTGGTATTGTTAGTTTGCTTTGAGTCCATTTCTGTTTACAGTAATTTAAATGTTTATTCTCTTTGACTTGGCCTATGCTTTTTATGGATTAAATAGCTTTATACCATTAACATTATCCATTTTATCATGGAATCCTATTCAACCAAGATATCACAGTATCTTGCAGGGTCAGGATCACTATCTAACAGTTTAATACCACCCAAGTAGAAAGTCTGAATACACTGTAGGAGGCACAAAATTAAATAAATAAATAACACTACTCCTCCAAAGTAATGGTTCTAAGGTAGGAAAAAGGCTACTAACCTCACCATGTGCATTGTAGGAGACATGTTCTGCAGTTCATACTTTAATCAAGCTTTGTTGCCATCTACCTGTGGGAATCCATTGCTCTGAGTCTTTTACACTTATTGACCCTGAGTTTTGGTGTATTTTTCCTTTTAACTTTGTTTAAAATCTCTGACTAACCTTTAGTATGCCTGCCCATGCCAGTGTTTCTCAGGCACACGCAGTACCTTTGATAATAGAGATGAATACCTCCTGAACAGTTTTATAGCCAGACATAGATCAGAGGCTGTAAAATGTAGAATACAGACATGAAATGCAGAATGCATCAGCTGGCCATGAAGCTATGAAAGGAATTGTCTGGCTATGTTGCAGTTTTTTGTGACTCCTGTACTTCTGAAAAAATACACAGGTTTGATAGTACTTACGATCAAAAATCCTAGAATACACAGCACAACAAAGCTCAAAAATCAGTGATGGGTATGATATCTCATCTTCCAGGTTATTTGGGCCTGAATATGTATTCAGTTAGCCATTAAATTCATATCCTAGGTTCAGATCCTGAAAAACCTTCTTCATCTAAAGTTTGGGGTTTTCAAATTCAATATCCATCTTAATGTAAGCACAAAGCTTTGTTCCTTTCACATATGGCTTCCACGCTGATTTAGAAAAACACAGAAAGCCAAAAGGACATCATGTCCATTTAACATTTGCATGGTTTGGCACATGACTTACTGTTCATTTAGAAAAGAAAGAGTTGATAGTGTAGGCCTTGCTGGAGCACTGATCAATATAAATACTAGGAAAACTGCAGGCACAGCTGTTGGCATATGAAAGTGGTAGGAATTCAAACAAGAAAAGATAAGAAAAAGTCATCTATAACTGTGGCTGCTGCCTTTACCTCAGGACTGAATGAAGCAATTGCATGAAATTGATAGTACAGAACTCAAAATGCATATTTCAACAACCCATGACCATGGAAGTTTAGGGATACCCTTATATTCACATCTGAGTTGGGGACAGGCTTGTATATTTCTTATAAAACATGGGAGCAGGGATCCCTACTGTAAAATATGTGCTTAATGCTTATCCAGTGAAAACTATTGTAGAGATACAGGAAACATCAGAAGTTACATATAGTGATGATGTTAAATTATTACGCCTTTAGTTTGGCTTATACACAATTAAGAAACAATGTGCTGTTAGAGCAGTGGTTTTCACCCTTTTATAATTTTTTTATTTGTAGACCCATAAAAAAATGTGAATGGAGGTGTGACCTTTTGAATTGTAAGTGTGACCATTCACATACTTTTGATTGATCATAACCATCTTTTATGGACCCCTTAGAAACAGTGTGTGGACTCCAGTGGTCCATGGGCCACAGGTTGAAAACCACTGTGTTAGAGGAAAGGAAAACTTGATTAAACCAAAAACTATAAAATGACTTGAAATAATCCTTGATTTTACCAATCAATGGTTAGAATTGTACCAGAACCAAAAAGGAAATTTCCTAAAAATGTACTTGTTATAGACAATACACTAATAGCAAACCACTAAAATGTAGCTATATGGATCTCTTATGGATGTATGTATTGTGTGTGTGTGTGTGTGTGTGTGTGTGTGTGTGTGTGTGTGTGTGTGTGTGTTTAAAAACAAAAAAAGGGAGATGAAATTTCTTAGTTTGTTTGTACCAAAAACAACAATAACTTGGATAATGGAACTTGTGGTCTTAATTGTTGCAAGCAAGAAGACAAATAAATTAGCTAACATACTGTCTAAACTTCACACGTGCTATGACATGAAAAATCTGGACAAAGAGTTCAGTACAATTGTACCCATTATCAGTAGTTTAGTACATCTTGATGTCTCTTTAGCCATAGCATTTGTTATGTTTGTAAATAAAGGTGCTGATCTGGTTAAGCAGAATTTATTCCAACTGCCATTACAAATATAGCCTCATTTGCTAAACAGTACAACCATTATAGCACACTACATGACTAAAAAGTAAAGCACATTACAAGGGACTTCTTAAAATTTGCTAAATTTGGGCTCCCTCCTTGTACAAGAATAAAGGTGTCAAGATTTTAATGGCAATTTCCAGGTGGCATAATCATCCGGTAAAGGCATGAATGCCATGTGCCCCCGGAGTCTGGGGGGGCATGGTGACCTCCTGCAGGCAGTGGTGGCAGGGGCATGGTGGCAGCAAGCGGGCAGTTTTGGCAGTGGGGGAGGGGCAGTAGCTAGCATCAACCGGTAGTCAGTGACCACCTGCAGACTGGTGGTGGTCAGCAGCAATCAGGGACTGCCTGCAGATGCCACCGGTTGTGTCAGTGGCTGGGGGGCGGAGGGGCATGGCAAGCAGCAACTGCCCGCAGACACCACCGGTAGCGTCAGCAGTGCTTTTCACAGGGGGTGCACATGCACCCGCATGCACCCTCTACACATTGCCAATGAGTAAAGGTATACTATCCAAACAGCATAGGAATCTTTGTGAATAATGTATATATGCAGTAGTGTTTGCCTGATAACCCAAGTGTTTGCCTGATAACAGAAACAGGGTTATGAATCAATCAAGCTTGCAGTTCTAAAAGCAATAGATAGTGGCTCTTTGAGTGCAATGCCGCTATCGTTGCCAATAATATAAAAGGGGCTGGGTTGGTAGATACAAAAACAATTAATTAACGAGGCAGTGCAAGTAAAAAATCATACAGTGTGTGGTTTGGGGCACTCTCATTTTATGATGCAAGAAGAAACCTGCCCAGGAAACTGGGCAGGATTCTACCTGAACATAACAAGTACAATTGAAATCAGGACTCACACTTTCTTGCCAACCAGCAATGAAAGCATTCTGACTGAGCTTATCATTCCTTCTGATAATATAAGGAATGTGATGATTGACTTATTTCCTCTCATCACAGAATTACACCTAAACATACAGGGCCTAGTAAAATTCACATAGGAATCTTTAATTCCCATAGCTGACCTCATACAACAACAAATTCAGGACATAGAACAGATGTGAGAAAAAAATAAAGACACCTTGGTGGGCCATCCAGAAGATATCACCTGGCATCTAATAGTCACAACTTTTAGTGTGGTACTGATGATAATCCAAGGAGTAACTGTAATTGTGTTAATTGGGGTGTGCTGCTATCCACCTCACCAACACCAGAATGTTAAATTGTGAAACCAGATTAGAAAAGGGATTAGCTTTGGCTATAAATAAGGCTATAGTAACCAACAGTATCTTGTTGAATATTACTGCTTATTTGCTAACCACTACTACTGTATTATGCTTTGTGCCATTTTGTAACGTAACCAGGCATTCTTCATGAGTTCTCCTTGACTGAGTACATACACATAATTTTTTTTCCTTCTTCTGAAGGTATCAGCTATGCCAAAACCAGTGAAACTAACATGTTTGCAGAAGTGGTAGTTACGCATTTCACATTGGACTGTTAGGACAGAACTGTGGAATTTTAGGGGAAACACAATATGTGGAGAACAATGGTGGTGTTACTGTGGAGAAACAATTGTGGAAAATTAAAAAAGAGATTACATTCCCTGTTTGCCCACCATTCTGGTGTAGTAGTTCACTGTGGATCTACTCTAATTCCAAAAGAGCCTCAACACAGGGAGTTCATTTGGAAAGATTATGAACCAGGGAAAAAGGAAGCAAAAATTAGCAGACTGGAATGCCACCTGAGATGCGTGAAGACACAACTGGCAACAACAGCTGTAACAGTTTTGGATTTCTTAGATTTCTAATTTTGGAGCTCTATGCATGTTACTTACACTCATGTGTATTTAGGCTGTGGTAGTATAATTTACCAGCATCAGCATGTTATTGTCTATTATTATCACATGCAGCATATTACCACTGCATAAATGAAGTGTTTCAAGCAGGCCATTCCTTGAAGTCCTAGACCTAACATTTCCAGGCCCAACCTATGGGACAAACAATTGGGTAAAAACTGTCTGAAATTCATATGAAGGAATGTACAGACCAATGTGTAGACATGTGGGGCATGAATGTATAGATGAGTATAACAAAGCAACCTCAACATAATGTCTAGCTCACTGGGTTATCTTCTATCTGTACATTATGCTTTTTCAGGATGATGAGTAGACACGTTCACCTATAAAAGATAAAAATGATGGAATGTAGGTCTTGCTGGAGCATTGATCAATATATATACTGCTAAAGCATGGGCCAGAGTAGGCCTGACCAGCAAACCTGGCCAATGCCTGAACTCCGTACTTAAGCATAACATGGTATGTGCACTCCTTCCAGAAGATGGGAAGGGGGGATGGCTATACAAGGTGTAGGGTCCAGTGCCTCCGGGTAAGATTAGAACAAGAACACCCAGGTCAGGTTTTGGAACAAGCCTTTGGTACAGGACAGTTTAAGACTTTCAAGATAGAGATGGGATGCAATACATAATTTGTTTTGATCATTGAATAAAAGGAGGGTTGGCAGCCTAGGGGAGCATGTATGGTATTATGCTGACTACCTTGTCACAAGCACAAATGTCTTAACTCCTTGTCTGATGTACTTGCTAGACCAAAACATGTTAGGGCTGTGCTTGCAGACAGTAAACCTGGCCATATCTTCTCCACCAAACTGAGCCTGTTATCTTTCTTTAGGACAAGGTTGGTGTTGGGATGTCCTGGCTATAACTTTGTCTGCATCACAGTCGCTGAGACTTCAACAATGAGACAACACGTCAATTACACTCAACAAGGACAACAACAAGAACAACACTGATAACACCTGAAGATAGATGGAAACAACAACTGGCAAGCGTCAGAGGGGTTGAATTGATTTCCTTTTAAAAAATTTTATAAAAAATAGTCTGAGAAAAGATTTGCTTGTGATTCATTACTGTTTGCCTACAGCTCTTACAATGGATACTGCAAACAGTACTACTTGAAAGTTGTGAAACCTGAATGTTTCTAAAGTTTCTGAGGGAGAATGCTGTCTCTCCCATAGCTACACTCTCAGTAGGTTGTTAGGACATTAAAATGGTCTTGATTATAAATGAAGAGATACTGAGGTCAGAATAATTATGCAATTATTACGCAAGAATATGCTGTCAAAGCCAGTTTCTATTTGAAACAACACATAGCAAGTGAATAAAAGCAGAAGGAAAACAAGACCTATAGCTACCAATTATATATATATATATATATATATATATATATATATATGTAAAATAGGTATAATCATTTTTCTATATACTGTATCTGAAATTCTACAATGAGTTTCCAGTTTGCTATTTTACCACTAATTTGTGTTCACTATCAAAGAACATTCAATACCTTTGACTTTGGTAATGGGAACAACCACAAAAATGAATTATATGCTTACCTGCTTTCAATAAAGCCTAATTCAAAACCCATGAAATAGGCTTCAGATAAACCATATTTGGCAAAAGTCAATTTTTAATTGTCTAGTAGATTGTGAGATCTGTGATTTGTAATTATCACTATATTCATCCGTTGAACAAGTTATTCAGCTGGTGAATGAGCAAAATATCATCTGATTTATACAACTAACCAGAATAGCCTGAAGTACAAATTGCAAATACTCAGAATGTCCAGTTCATAGATGATGAATGATTTGACAAAAATACTCATGACTAATCTGAATAGAGAATAAATTTAAAAATTGTATAGTCTATTTTCAGGTAATTCATGAACAGGAAAACGATGCCACTGAATCTATTATTCATTGCATACTATTAGGTGATCTCTTTGTAGACATGTGACTCATTCCTGTCAGTTTCCTTGATTGCATTTTACCAAAGCTTTATTAATAGCTACTCTCATGACAGTAACTAGTAAGATCATAAAAGTGAATAGTACACAATCCTCAATACAACTATACTAATGGTGCTTACATAAAATTTTATGAACCAGATTTTTTATTCCTTATTATAAGCCAATAGTGTCAGTAAAACATTAATACCTAGAAATTAATTTCTTCTGAGAATGAAGTGGACAAATAGATCTTTAAGACTGGTAGTGCAAGTTAATGTTAGGCATTGTCACACAACTACATAAAAGTAATGCTGACAGCTTAAAAATCATGGGACAGATCAACTGGTACAAACTGGCATATATCAGCTGAAGTCAGGCTTAAGTAAGTGAATGTGTTTTCCAGGTTTGGTGCTGTAATGAGCAACAGCAGCATTTTCAGTATTATGTCCCACTTCAAAAGATTTGAAATCTGATTTAAAATTAAGCCAGCATATGTCTTTGCTTGATGAGTCTTTTAGCTTCTTTTCTAATTGTTTTAATTAAGTTATATTGATTCACAATGAAAACTAAATATGTTATCAAGACCTCTCAGGGTATGGACAGGCAATCATTGCTGCAGTTTAGAGTGCTTCAAATTCAGATGTGTATCTTCTCTCCCCCACCCTGGACTGTTCAAAATGACTGCAGAGGCATTGATTAAAGCCATGGTGCTCTCCAGCCATGGAGTTGGACACCAGGAATCTTTCCACCGCACACAGCCTCCAGTCTCCAGAGGTTTCTAAACATGAAGAAGAGCAGTTATTGGCTGTCCACCTCATTTTCCCCTCCATGGGTGGGTGGGATAGGGAGCAGAACATTGTAGAATGCTGGAAGACCAAGCAATCACATGTCATGCTGTACTGGAGGGTTCAGATGATCCAGAAAGCACTTCAAAATGAAGTGCTTCAAAGGTGTTTCTCTTTATTCAAGTCTTATTTCTTAAGGGCTTCATCAGGTGTAGCTGTCTGCACCCTCACATTTTGCAGTGCTTCAAAGATACAAAGGACCTCAGTATAGATATTTGCAGCCTAAGTTTCAGTGGTGCTGAGACCTTTATCTGATATTTAAGTCAATAGGAATTACAGGTACTTAGCATCTTTATCTATTACATTAACCACTTAATAAAAGCTGACCTTTAAAATCATTTGCTGCTCACAAGATCAGAAGTGTGGTGTTTTATGGAATAGGTTTTCATAACAGCGGGCATGTCTACACAAGACACTAAATTCACAGTAGACTGACTAATTTTACTGCACATTAGCACTTCACAGCAAAAGCCATGCTAATGCTCAGTAGAACTGATTTACTGCACATTTGCATCACTGAAAAGGCATGTGCTGGTGCTACTGCGCAGTAGTGCTGATTATTGTGTATTGAGTTAGTACCTGTTATTACATGTACTAAGCTTAATGTGCAGTAATAATGGCACATTAATGCACATGTAGACATGCCCACTAATACATCAGACATGCTCACTAATCCACAAACATTCCCATTTTCAAAAGCAGTGGCATGTATAGAATGAGACCAGCTTTGCAGTCAGCACATATCCATGGACATAAAATTATTATTAAAGAATAACTCACCAGGAAAAAGTAATTTATACTTGTAACCATCCCACAGAGGCCAAAATATTTACTACATTTTTTTCCTTGCGGTGTCCTCCTTAGATCATTTTATTACTTTTTAAAAGCACCAGTAACATCTGTTTTATGTAAAGTAATAAGAGATATTTTATAGCTTTGAGCAGCTTGTTTATTACACTTGCCATGATTTAATTTAATGTTGTGATCACCCTTTCTTCCTCATCCTGTATGTGATGTCACTGTACATGTCATAGTTGGTTTTTTTTATATACCACTATTAAGAACCGGCAGAAAAGTGCCTTTGAGTTTCAAAGTGCATTGTCTATAGTCTTACAGGATCCTTGGTTTCACTATCTTCCAGGGATCCAAAGGGATTACAAATATATGTAGGGTGGTTTTGTCATTTTAATTGAGAATTCATACTCATTGGGCATGTCTATATGTGCTTAAATATTGTGTAGGTCAGACATGTGATTGTACTTAAGGCAACACATGGCTCTTTATGCCAGGAATGCAAGTCCCCTCAAAAAGGTGCTGGATTGATGGCTCTGGTGATAACACGAATTCCTTATTCTTCTACAAACTCAGTCTGCAAAAGGACGACTTTTACAATTTTTTCTCCGATGCCTGATGAAGGGTGTTTGCGCCCGAAAGCTTGCAACGAAAGAATTTTTTTGCACAAATTGTGTTGGCCTAACAAAAGATATCACCTCTGTCCACGAGCCCTGATCTAAAACACAGTGGTATTCAGCTTCTCCCAGAAATGTGCATGGGGGGGGAACATATTTGCAAAGCTTACCTCTGGGCCCTCTG